GGGCAGAGAGAGGGAGAGAGAGAGGGAGAGAGAGAGGGAGAGAGAGAATCCCAAGCAGGTTTTGTACCATCAACTCAGAGCCCGATATGCGGCTCCATCTCACAAACCGTGAGATCATGACCTGAGTCAAATTCAAGAGTCAGATGCTTAACCAACTGAGCCACCAGGTGCCCCTACCATAGTGTATTTAATCATTTGCCTGCTGAAGGACATCTGGGCTGATTCCAGTTTTTGGTAATTATGAATAAAGCTGCAATGAACACATGTGTACAAGTTTTTGTGTGAAGATGTTTTCATTTCTCTGGAACAAGTGCCCAAGAGTGCAATTCTTGGGTCATCTGGTATTTGCATGGTTAGTTTTCCAAGAAATTGCCAAACTGTTTTCCAGAATGGCTGTTTTGTTAGTTTTCAAGGATTGGAGAGCATGTTATGTGCTGATGTGAGAGATTAGACTGTAGGAGCCAAGTTCTTAAAGAGTGGAGAGAGGGTAGACTGGCTCCTGTGGTGGGATTGTAAGGAAGAGGGCACATCTCAGGGTCAAGGTGGGAACAGATACTGGCGGTTGCAGAGGCAGATAGGTTTGCAGATTGTGTTAGGAATGAGAGGACGCTCCCCTCTGCTTCTATGTCCTCAGAAACATAAGAGGCTAGGGCAATATATGTTATACATTAAGTCATCATGTTGTACACCAAAAGTAATATGATGTTATATGTCAACTAGAACTCAGCATAACCAGGGGCACCTGAGTGGCTCTGTTGGTTCGGCATTTGACTTCAGCTCAGGTCATGATCTTGTCATTCCCTGTGTTTGAGCCTGCTTCGGATTCTGTGTCTCTTTCTCTCTTCCCCTCTCCCACTCCCACTCTCTCTCTCTCTCAAAAATAAATAAAGATTTGAAAATTTATATATATATGGGGCACCTGTGTGGCTCAGCCGATTAAGCGTCTGACTTTGGCTCAGGTCATGATCTCACTGTTCGTGGGTTCGAGCCCTGTGTCAGGCTCTGTGCTGACAGCTCAGAGCCTGGAGCCTGTTTCAGATTTTGTATCTCCCTCTCTCTCTCTGACCCTCCCCTGCTCACGCTCTCTCTCTCTCTCTCTCAGAAATAAGTGAAAAACATTTATATATATATAACTCAATATAACAACAACAACAGCAAAAAAAAGCACTAAAGAGCCTAGATCATCAGCTAAGAGAAGAGGGGAAGAGGTTTTGTAGAGAGAGGATAGATATAAGTTATCTTGGAGAGTGGAAAAGTAAACTTACTGGAGAAATGTAGTAGGAATTGCCAGGCGGAATTGAGGACTGTGAACATGAAATGAAGATCATCTGCCTGACAGGTTGGTTTTGCTCTAGCAAAAGCACTGGGAAGGCAGATAGTGGATTTATCCAGAGTAGGGGTTTTGTGAGGCCAACACAATTGGAGGAGACAGGGCAAGAGAGTGGTTGTAGTAGTGGATGATGGAAATTAAGGTAAGAAAGAAGGAACATGAAAAGTGGATCTCATGAGTAGTGAGACATTAGTGAAGTCAAGGGATCAGAACTCCTGATAAAGGTCAAAGAATATTGAGGGAGATTTAATTAAGGAAAAGGAGAGTTTCCATATTGGAAGTGGAATGGCTTTTGGTGAAGACAAAGCTGAGGGTGTGACCACAGGAGTGGGCAGCTGCTATGGCGTGTGGAAAATATCTCTGGAGGTGAGGTGGTCAAGGAAGTGATGGAGAGGCCATGACATGGATGTGGAGCTCACTCAATATAACAAAATTTAGGATGGAGAGAGAGGCAATGAGCCAAGAGTTAAATGATGGGCAGTGAGAGGCCAGGAGGTTGATTGAGGACGTTAACCAAGATGGTATGCCCACACAGTGAAACTTCAAAGAAACAGGGTTTTTGTAGGAGGGGTGGGGGTAGCATCGGCTTAGAAATGGCATTCAGGGTGGGAATGGAATATACTTAGCCACTTCCTGACCTGAGGTACAGGAAAATGAGAAGAAAATAACATTAACGTAAGAGCGCTGCTAAAGAATCAGTGTACTTAAGGGATAGCAAAATTTTTGGTAAGTCAACATTCTGCGAAAAGGCTGAAGATATGGAGACTTTGGTGATCACAGGTTGCAGAAGGCACAGGGGAAGGATGTGCCTGAGGGCAGGGAGCAGGGGACTTACTGGCAGGGGGAGGACAAGGATGGAGGTGATAATAGATGAGAGGGAGCTTGCACCTGTGGTGATGACGGAAGTAAATAGGGATAGGGGAATGATAGTACACAGTGCTTTCCAGAACTCTTGGTGTTGATGGAAAATCACTGGTAACCACTAGCCACATATGACTGTTAAACACATAAACTGTAGTGAATGGGGCTGAGAGGTTGAATGTTTAGCTTTACTTCATTTTTTTTTTTATTTTTTTAAAGTTTATTTATTTGTTGGGGGAAGGGGCAGAGAGAGAGCGAGCGAGCGAGCACTGCACTGTCAGCAAAGAGCCTAACGCAGGGCTTGATACCACGAACCATGAGATCATGACCTGAGCCAAAATCAAGAGTCAGAGGCACCTTACAGCTTTCCTTCATTTTAGTTAATTTAAGTTTAAATAGCCATATGTGACTAGTGGCTATCATATTGGACAGCACAGGTTAGAGGAAGGTGGCTTCCCATTGTGATATTTTCACTTGATGGCCAGGTGGCTGTCAGGATGATCATTCCTCCAAATAGCAAGGTGTGCAGAGACCTTCTCCTTCCTCTATCATGTGAATCCATAGAAAGCACAGGATCAGGCCCTTTGGGGTCCAAATTCTATTTCTACCATTCACTAGCTTTGAATTAGCAAATAAATTAACTTTCTTGGTATGTATAGGCCTTCTATAAATATTAGTTGGCAAAATCTCCCTGAGGTTTCTTTTCATCTGTAGAATGGGAATGGGGAGCTGTTGTAAAAATGAGTGCTTTAGGGGCGCCTGGGTGGCTTAGTCGGTTAAGCGTCCGACTTTTGCTTAGGTCATGATCTCGCGGTTTGTGGGTTCGAGCCCCGCATCGGGCTCTGTGCTGACTGCCAGCTCAGAGCCTGGAGCCTATTTCGGAGTCTGTGTCTCCCTCTCTCTCTGACCCTCCCCTGCTCATGCTGTCTTTCTCTCTCTCTCTCCTAGAAATAAATAAAAATATTAAAAAAAAATGAGTGCTTTAGCATGATGTTCAATAAATAGTTCCTATTATTGATGTAGTGAGTTCTCAATATTTGCTGATGGGTCACAAACTATCCTTCAGGCCAAAATGTTACTTGTTCAGGGATGTGCTGGCAGAAAAGAGCCATCCAGTTCCCTTTGAGTCCCGGGTCTCTGGGACTATAAGATGGGGTAAATCAGGGCTGGATTTAATTATTTAGTTCTGCTATATACTGATGAAGAACATTCCACACCTGAACTTGGAAGTGGAGGTAGGGATAGCCAAGGAGACAAAGAGGAGGATCTAAAGTGAGCCAGGTATTATGGGATCCTCTAGTTATAATCTGGGCAGTTCTAGTATCATTTTCTGCTTTGATTTTTGCTGAAAAAACCTTCATTTGGTAGCTTCAACCTTTCTTCCATCCCTGCATCTCCATGATCTAAAAACTGAAAGCATGGTGTTCATTAAGGAGAGTAGCAGCGTCCTGAGATGATTCTAATGTGGGACATTTGTGATTTGGGACTATTATGAACTGGGAATCATAGTGAACTCTGATTTGGAGTGATTGTGATCACCCTTTTTGTGAAGGCATCCATAATTTCCTCTTTTCTCTGTGGTCTCAGAGTGAGCATTTACTTACTTCATATTTTGATGGCCTCTCTGTCTCTCCTTCTGACTAGATTGTGACATCTGAGGCAGGAACTTTGCCTAATTGATCACTGAGTATTTCTGGACTTTAGCGCATGCCTGGAGCACATAGTAAGTAGCTGCTCAGTAATTATTTGTTGAATAAATGAATGAATGGGCTTTGAGGTAATGGCACCCCATCGTGACCTAAGATAATGTGACTTCTCTTGTTTGCAGTCTGGATTAACTATGAACAGATTGTGTTGAAGTACCTGTGTTTGTGGCCTGCAGCGACTGTCATCTGAGGGGTCTGTGCTCCAGTGTTTGTGTGCTGTTATCACTGACCTGTGATAAGGACCAGCAGGGATAGTGAATGGAGGTGACTGAGAACCTTGCATGACGGTGATCTCAAGTGAACAAGTTAGTGATAGTGCCTTCCATCACTTCTGTCAGGTGACTGTGATCCTGACCCACAGAGATTTGGCTTCACATGACCACTAGCCAGTGTTAGATCTTAACCATTGACCTGAGGTATCTTTCAGGTGCAGAGATTGTTGATCTCAGCTGGCAGCTGAGATTATTGATCTGCATTATGAGCTGAGGTAACTGAGATCTGTGAACCTGGGCTTAGTCTGGGAATGGTGCTAATATATGTACACTACCCTTAGATTTGTGATTTTGTTTTGTATAATAAAATATTCTCCCAGGGCTACAGATGACACATCCCTGCTTGGTCCCTCTCAAACAAGGCCTAGGGACTTGGACTAGGTCGGGTCAATGCTCAGAAAACTCAACTTGAAATACAACATATCTTTCCTGCACAGCAGCTAAGGCCACGGCCACTGCCACAGCCACCCGCAGAGGATGCTCCTTATCCAGACCCCTGCTCCCAGGTCCTGATGCGCCTGCGTGGAGGCGGGGCCAGGCTTTGCCCTTTGTTGTGGGCCCCAGTTTCCCAGGACACCGTGCGGCTCTGGGGTGGGGTTATGCAGATGAGGCACCGGGGGCGGGGCGGTTGCGGCGGCGTCGGCGGCGGCCGGGGAGGGTCAGTTGGAGGCAGGCGCTCGCTGAGGCAGGAGGAGGGCTCTGGGCCCGCGGCCTGACAGGGACTTAGCCCGCAGAGATCGGCCCCGCGCGCGCGCGACCCCACTCCCACCCTTTCATCCACCTACCCACTCCCTGCGCCGCCTCCTCCCACCCTGAGCAGAGCCGCCGAGGATGATAAACACCCAGGACAGGTAACGGCCCGGCCCAGGCTCCCCGCCCCCATCCTCCCCGCATCTGCCTCAGAGGGCCTCCCCCCGTCCCCGGTCGTTCCCGCCCCCAACAGCGGGGCTCTATCCGCCCCCCACGGGGTCCTTTCCCTACTTCAGCCACCCCAGTCCGAGCCCCAACCCCGCAACGGGGCCTCCTTCCGCTCTTTAGCCCCTTCCCTCCAGCCCGGCCCATCCCCCTCATCCGGGCCTCCTCCTCCCGCAAAGCCCCCACCCCCAACCCCCACGCAAACCAGAAGCCAACCTTCGGAGCCAGTCCCCATTTCCTTTAAGTCCCTTCGGACGGTGCCACATTCCCCAAACTGGGCTTTCTCCCTCATCCAGATTCCCCAGATTGTTTCCTATTTCTCCAAATCTATCTTCCCCCTTTAATCACTTAACCCTTCGCTTTGACTCTCTTTCCTTGAAACTGCATCCTCCAAACCCCTCATCACTGCCGCCCCTCCCCCAGTTAGGCTCCAACCTTCAGTTCTCAACTGGATTTATTACCCCTCCCCCGCTTTTCTCAGGCCTAATAGTTTTTACAGTGATGCCCCGCTGTCCCTTAGGTCCCTTAGCTCCCGCTTTATCTTTTCCCATCCTCCTTCCTCCCTCGATACCCCTTACCCAGTTAGGCCTTGTTTTCCCTGTCTCCCAACCTTTTCCTTTTTTTTCCTCAAACACTTTGGACTTCTGTTTCCCGTCTTATTCCGCTAGTGGGGTTCCCCCAACACTCTTCTAGAAAACACTCCTATCTGCTAAACACTTGATCTCAGCTGGAACTCATCTTTACGCTGCTTATTCTTCCCTTCTTCATTGAGTCCCACCATTAGAATACAGAACTCAGGCCACCTGCTTCTATTGAAGGCCTCCTTTCTTTCCCTGTACCTCTAGTGCCTGCAAATCAGGCCTCATACTCTGGAGGCTGGGCCTTTGCAAGTTTCTTCTCTCAAAATCTGACCCCAGTCTTCCCCTATTAATCAGAGAGAAAGGCTGCACATCTTTCTGAAACAGTGCCAGTAGTTTTCTAAACTTGCCTCATAGATACTTCCCCCCTGCCCAAACTAGGCAGAATTTATCACTCAGCTTTCCTCTCTCTACTTCTCTTTTTCCCCAAGGCAGCCTTTGTTGTCATCCATCTCTTCCTCAAACATACCCCGTGTTTCTGCCCCAAACACTTGGAAACTCCATAATCCTGGTTCCCCACAATTTTTTAACCCTTGTTGCTTTTTATATATCAGAATGGCTTCCATTTACAATTTGGGTCTCTTTGTCTTCCTCACTTTTACCAACCTAGACTTGTTGCTATCCCTTCTGTGAAGTAGGTCTGAAGCTCATTTAGTTCTCCACACCAGACCCTTTGTCCCCAGAATTGGCCTTATTAAGGCCTCTGCCCCATACTTGGGCCTCATTGTTTTGCAAACAGATCTGTTCCCTGTAGATCCTCCTTAAATTGTGCGGTGGTCTGTCCAGAGCTAGGTTGTAGTTCCTTTTACAAACATATCCTTCCTTCCTTTTTTCTTCCCATAGGGCTCTACCTGCCATTTGGGGTCTTCTCAAACTTGGGCTCCCTTCTCCCTAATATGGTCTCTAACTTGCTGTTTCCCAGCCCTTTAGCAGCACCATCCTTAAATATTCCAGCTGTGTTTTTAGGTTTTCTTGTATCTCCGTGTTTCTCAACACTGGCTGCACATTTGAAAAGTCAATCACCTGGACCCCCTCCTTCAAAGATGTGGTGTAACTGGCCTAGGGTGGGGCCTGGTTATTAGTATGTATTTTTAAAACTCCCTAGGTTGATTCTTTGTAATGCACAGCCAGGACACTGCCTTCTCTCCCCTTCCCTTCAAGACCTTTCCCATCATATTTCTTTACTGAATGTCAACTCTTTCTCTACTGCAAACGGCCTTGTCTCCTTCAGGGATTTCTTAGTTTTTCTTTCTCAGGTATTGTCCAGAAATTCCCAAGATACTCCTGACAGCGTCCTAAATTCTCCTACCTTGAGTTACTCAGTTCTCTGCCATTAGCATTTTCATTCTCTTACCTAAACCCCACCTGTATTTCTTCCCAGCACGCAGAAAGAAAACTCCCTCCTCATTTCCCGGTTTGTTATGGTGGTTTTGGACCCATTACCCCCATCTCTCAAGGCTTCTTTATCTACAGTCCCATTCTGGTTTCTTTTTCTGAGGCTGTCCACATCCATGTCCCTTTGCAGTTCTGCTTTTATTCCATCTTCTCTACCCAGCCCCTCTGGAGCTGAGGAGGTGGAGGTGGATATATACTTGGATGGTGCTGGATGCAAAAGGTATTGCTTGTAATAAAGCCGTGTGTGGTGAGGATAAGACAGCAGATATGAGAGAGAGCAGGATGATGGGCAGGGGTGGAGGGAAGCAAAGAAACCAACGTGAAGTCTGCAAAAAGCATATAATGAGATGGGTTTTCTTTTCTGTTTTTGTTTTTGTCTCCACAGTGGGATTTGCAAGGTGGTGTGGTCTCAGCAGGCATTCTGTGTAGTCCTCTGGACTCAGCTGGTCTTGTGCCAAGTCCTTTGCAGGCTGAGCCTTGAGAGTTGGCCACTTGGAACCAATACATAAGGGTCTTCATTGACTGTGAGGCTGTGAGACCTGAGTTCTAGTTCTGGCTTGGCTCATGTGCGTCCACATAAAAAGGGGGGGGGGGTTGGGTTCGCTTAACTCAAGATTCCTTCCAGCTTCCTAAGTGGCAAAACAGGCTTGCTTGTCTCCAAGGCCCTTAGTGTGTTAGTAATTTGAGGGGCTTGGCTGTATGAAAGGCAGGTGGAGGGAGGAGCCAGCTGGCCTGCAATTCCTGGGCTGGAGCAAGGCCTGGGATCAGGCTCCTCCACCTTGGCCTGGGGGTGGGGTGGTGTGTGCAGGATATCTGATTTCTTTGAGTTTTGGCAATCCTATTTCTATAGCATGTTTCCCAGCCTTCTCTAGCCTGCCCGTAACTTTTAAAAGGATTCTGGTAGGCCCTAACTAGGGATCCTGATAAGAGCCGGATGTTCTTCCCAGTTTGTGTGCTTGGTGTTTTGTATCCGCAGAGGGGAGGGTGAGCTGGCTAGGAGTTTAGCTCTCATTGCATGGGGGATGGGCTTTCTAGCTTCCGTGGCTCCAGTGAAATACTCAAGAGGTGGAGGCTTGGTTTCCTGGAAGAAATAGTTGCAGAGGAACTGGCAGTATGTTTTGAAAACAAAGCTCTTCCTTTTCAGTTTTGTTCGATTAGTACCTCCAGAATGTCAAAATTCCTCGTGGTGGGGGAGGGAAGAAGACACAGGAACAAGCACTTTTATTACGGTTTTTGAACATGAGGTTTAAACCAAGAAAATCCAACTTCATGGCCTTTCTCTCCCTGGATTTGTGGGGACAAGACTCTGTCTAGGGCCTGCTTAGCACCTGTGTATGTGAAGAAGCGCTTGCCCTGGCTTTATATCCATATTAGAATCAATCTTAGTCTGATGGGCTTTGAGAAGCATTTGGGTCTACAGGTGTTTTCTTTTGGAGGTGGACAGGGCAAGAGAGCACATCAGAGCTGCCCTGAGTATCTTCACAGAATGGTTCTCTGGGTGATGGAATGTATCTTCCCCCAAAGAATATGGTTTTGCTTATTCGTTATTTATTGGCATTATGGCTTATTGGGTGTGGGATAAGCCATAATGCCAATAAGCAAGTTTTTCTCCATGTCCCTTCAAGGTCGTTCCACAGAGAGACTCCTAGTATACTTGGGAATCCCCCTGAATTGGAGGTATGCTTCAGAAAGCAATGTGGACTAATAATAGTAATTCCTCGTGCTGCCAAGAAATCCAAATTTAACCTCAGAGCTGCTCAGAAATCTAAAAAGGGGGACTGAGGAGTGGGTTAGAGGATGTTATATATGTGCATTTCTAGAAAAAAAAAAAAGTAACTCATCCCTTTTTGAAACAGTATGCAGTGTTGATTCAAGTTAGCTCCATGACACTGAAGGCTGTAAAGTCTAATTGAAAGCTATAGACCAGAAATAACCAAGTAGGTGAGCAAGAATTTTCTTACTTGAAGTGAACCAAACATAATTTCCTGTTAGCAGAATAAAATGCTTTGCATAAGAGAAACCCTAAGAAAATTTCCTAGGCCTTTGATACCGTATAAGCAATTCAGTAATTCTGTCCCAGGAAGAGAGGCTGGAACTGGGTGTTGAGTTCACTATATAAACTAGATCAAGGTACTTAAAATGTAAAATGTAGGTTTAATTTTAAAGCATGAGTACCTAGCTATCCATCCACGTCTGTGGCATATGTGGTTATGCCTACCTTTGGCAGAAGATGTACTAGTATCAGTTGTGTTATAAGCAGACCTCTGAGGCAGATATTCTAGTTGCCACTGTAAGTGTGTTTCTTATGGAGAATCAGCCAAAACCCAGTTTTGCTTTCAGTCTGTGATTCAGAGTGGTGATGTCATTTTCTTTATAATTGTGCTTAGCAAGTGTACTCCCTTTGGCACATAGAACAGCCCTAGTGAAATGACGTATGCCTGGCGTCTGCCCAGGGTCCCTTTCTCGTATGGGAAGGGAATTGGCAGCTGGAAATCAGCCTCTACAGTACCACTAGACTGGAGGTGGCCATCACCTCCCACCTTTCTTCCTATTTCTTCTTAGCTAAATGCGATGGCAGTCCTGGATTGGTCCCTCTTTGCGTAGGGGTTAGTCATCAGAGACCTTCCTAGTCTCAGTAAAAGCAGCCTGTGTGAGGGAAGTCTGGGCCTAGAGAGTTTTTTATGAGTCAGGGCCTGAGACAGGAATGGATCATAAGAGGTTGAGAGAGGAATGAATTAGAATGCTGGGGAATGCGGTTTTTATGTGTTTCACTTGATACCACAAAATAGGTAATACTGAGGCCATTTAGCACCCCCTCACCTGGACAGGTAACAGAAACCAGAGAGAAAGTGTGCAGACCTGAGCAAGCTTAGGCCACTGATTCAAGTGAAACATCAAAAGTATATCAAGAATATTAATTCATATATTTGTTAGATGTAGCTGAATGGAAGTTAGCCACAGAATTACTTTTATATTAAATCTCTACATAGCAGGCTATCCACTGCTTTGAGCAAACTAAATATAAAAATCAAAACTGACATAAAATCAACTAGAAGTGATTCTTTAATAGATCCTTATTAAGAGATTTTTAAGTTCCTTCCTTTAAATAGTAAGCACCCTAGAGATTTAAAAATAGGATTTGAATTATAAAAGTTTGATTTACCAGCAACACTCCCCAGGAATACATCTGCTACGTGCAGTGCCTGTCTGCAGCCAGTGTATGAAATTAGACATTTCAGGCAACAGTTTCACAGAATGCTTTAAATTGGAGGCAGCAGGATGTGATCTGTGGTAGCGCTCCTATGTATCCTGAGGAGTGTTTCCAAGGGCATGTCTGAGAACCGAGGAAATAAAAGGCACTAACAGATAGGCTCTAATCTTCCATTTTTCTTCTGAATTGACTTGGATACTTGACACCCTCATTTCTAGCATGGTATATTTATTTATTCTCCAAAAGCAAAACCAGTCCAAGTGGATGTTTGGGTTCAGTGATATATTTGATTCTTCTTTTTTTTTTTTTTTTTTTAATGTTTTTTATTTATTTCTAGGAGAGAGAGAGACAGCGTGAGCAGGGGAGGGTCAGAGAGAGAGGGAGTGACAGACTCTNAGAGAGACAGCGTGAGCAGGGGAGGGTCAGAGAGAGAGGGAGTGACAGACTCTGAAACAGGCTCCAGGCTCTGAGCTGGCAGTCAGCACAGAGCCCGACGTGGGGCTCGAACCCACGAACTGTGAGATCATGACCTATGCGAAAGTCAGACGCTTAACCGACTAAGCCACCCAGGCGCCCCTATATTTGATTCTTCTTAGTAAGCCTGATCTTTTCAGACTCTAGACTGAGCGGCTGCCTTTTTTTTTTTTTTTTTTTTTAATGTTTATTTTGAGAGAGCACGCACAATCGTGAGTGGGTTAGGGGCAGAGAGAATGGGCAAGAGAATCCCAAACACTCTTCGTACCTTCAGCATGGAGCCTGATAAAGGGCTCGATCTCATGAACTATGAGATCATGGTCTGAGCTGAAATCAGGAGTCAGACACTTAACTGACTGAGCCACCCAGGAGCCCCTGAGACTGAGCTTTTTAAATCTTCTTTTTGATGGTAAAGATTAAACCATGCCTGTCCCCCCAGCAGAGTGAGCAGGATGTGAGGAAAGAATGGAAAAGCTGGGCATTGGAGGCAGTAAAGACAGCTTTACTGAATATGAAACCTAACCTGGTTTGGATCTTGTGACAGAAGGACCTGTGTTCTGTAGAAGCCACTTTTACTGTACTTAGGTTCTTAGAAGATTCACTGTTCTCTTTTGAGATTGGTGGCATATTTTGCCACAATACCATTTCCAACATTAAAAAGCCAGTATAAGAACAGAAGGCGGTTCTTTTTTTTATTAATTAATTTTTTAAGTATTCTCTACACCCATTGTGGGGCGTGCTCACAATCCTAGGATTAGGAGTTGCATGTTGTACTGACTGAGCCAGCCAGGTGCCCCTGTTCTTTTTTTTTTTTTTTTTTTAATTGAAAAATAACTGACGTACTATATTATTAGTTTTTAGGCATAAAGCATAGTGATTCAGTTTTTATATATGTTACAAAATAGTGCCATGTGTCACCTACAGAGTTTTTATAATATTGACTGTATTCCCTTTGTTGTACATTATATGCCCATGTCTGTCTTATTTTATAACTGGGGGACTGTACCTCTTAATCTTTACCTATTTCATCTTCTGGCAACCATCAGTTCTCTGTATCTAGAAGTCTATTTTGTTCATTTGTTTTCCTTTAGATTCCGCATATAAGTGAAATCATATTTGTCTTTGACTTACTTCGTTTAGCATAATGCCCTCTATGCCCATCTACGTTCTCACAAATGGCAAGATTTTGTTATTTTATATGGCTGAGTAGTATACCATTGTGTATATATATCACAGCTTTATCCATTCATATATTGATGGGCATTTAAATTGCTTCTGTATCTTGGCTATCGTAAATAATGCTGCAACAAACATAAGTGTGGATATATTTTTGAATTTGTGTTTTCGTTTTCTTCAGATAAATACCTAGAAGTGGAATTGTATGGTAGATATATTTTTATTTTTTAATGTTTTATTTATTTCTGGTAGAGAGAGAGTCAGCATGAGCAGGGGAGGGTCAGAGAGAGAGGGAGATACAGAATCTGAAACAGGCTCCAGGCTCTGAGCTAGCTGTCAGCACAGAGCCCAATGCGGGGCTTGAACCCATGAACCGTGAGATCATGACCTGAGCCGAAGTTGGACACTTAACTGACTGGCCACTCAGGCGCCCCATGGTAGATCTGTTTTTAATTTTTTGAGGAACCTTCATGCTGCTTGCCCCAGTGGCTGCACCAATGTCATTCCCACCACCGGTGCACAAAGCTTCTTTATTCTCCACTTCCTCACCAACACTTATTTCTTGTCTTTGATACTAGCCATTCTAACAGGTATGAGGTGATTATATCACTGTGGTTTTGATTTGCATTTCCCTGATGATTAGTGATATTGAGCATCTTTTCATGTGCCTATTGGCCATCTGTATGTTGTCTTTGGAACAGTGTTCAGATCCTCTGCCCATTTTTTTTAAGTAGTCTCCATGCGGGGCTTGAACTAAAGACCCTGAGATCAAGACCTGAGCTGAGAGTGAGTCAGACACTTAACCAACTAAGCCACCCAGGCACCCTTACTCTGCCCATATTTTTTTTTTTTTTGGCCACCCACTCTTTGCCCATTTTTTAATTGGATTATTTTTGATACTGAGTTCTATGAATTCTTTTTAAGATTTTACTTTTTTTAAAGTAATCTCTGCACCCATTGTGGGGCTCGAACTCAACCTTATCAAGAGTCGCATGCTCCACTGAATGAGCCAGTCAGGCACCCTTCTATGAGTACTTTATTTATTTTGTATGTTAACTTACTGGATATATCATTTGTGAATATCTTCATTCAGTAGGTGCCTTTTTGTTTTGTTAGTTTCCCTTGCAAGCTTTTTAGTTCTGTGTATGTTTATTTTTTGCCTTTGTTGTCCTTGCCTGAGGAGACAGATTCAAAAAAAATAGCGCTAAGACTGATGAACAGCTTACTGCTATGTTTTCTAGGTGTTTTATGATTTCAGGTCTCACATGTAAGTCTTTAATCCATTTTGAGTTTAGTTTTGTGTATTGTGTGAGAAATTGGCCCAGTTTTATTCTTTTGCATATAGCTGTTTAGTTTTCCCAACATTTATTAAAGAGATGATATTTTCTCCATTGTATATTCTTGCTTCCATTGTTGCAGATTAATTGACCATATGTGAATGGGTTTGTTTCTGGGCTGTCTATTCTGTTTGACCTTTGTGTCTGTTTTTGTGCCAGTACCGTACTGTTTTGATTACTATAACTTTGTAATATACTTTGAAATCTGAGAGTATGACACGTTCAGCTTTGTTTTTCTCTCCAGATTGCTTTGGCTATTGGGGCTCTTTTGTGGAACCATACAAACTTTAGGATTATTTGTTTTGGTTCTGAGAAAAACACCATTGGTATTTTGATAGGGATTGCACCGAGTCTTTAGATTTGGGTAGTATGAACATTTGAACGGTATTCTTCGGTTCATGTGATGGTATATCTTTGCATTTGTTTGTATCATTTTCAGTTTCATCAGTGTCTTATAGTTTTCAGAGTATGGGTCTTTTATTTTCTTGGTTAAATTTAGTTCTAGATATTCTGTGTTTTTAAATGTTTACTTTTGAGAGAGAGCGTGAGTGGGGGAAGGGCAGAGAGAGGGAAACACAGAATCTGAAGCAGGCTCCAGGCTCCCAGCTGTAGAGCTCTGTGATGTGGAGCTTGAATTCACGAGCCGTGAGATCATGGCCTGAGCTGAAGTTGGATGCTTAACTGACTCAGCCACCGCTGCGCCTCTCAATTTTTTAAAAAAAAATGCATTTGTACATGGGATGGTTTTCTTAATTTCTCCTTCTGGTAGTTGTTAGTGTATATAAATGCAACAGATTTTATATCAATTGAATTGATTTTTGTATCCTGCAACCTTACTGAATTCATTTAATCTATTAGTTTTTTGGTGAAGGTGGTAGGGTTTTCTGTATAGAGTAGCATGTCATCTACAAATAGTGACAGAGTGCCTTAAATTTCTTTCTCTTGCCTGATTGCTGTTCATGCCCCTTAATTTCTTTAACCACCACATATATACCCATCTTCCTGTTTTTCTCACTTCAGAAATGACAATCAGGTTTTTTGGAAGAGAAGCAGTTTGCCATTCACAGCAAATAACTAAAAGCAGATCCATTATGATGGATGATGAAAGAGGATTGTTGACTGTGATCTCGAGTCTCCTAAATTTATCCTAAACCCTAGCTGTTTCTGGTAGGAAACTGTAAGTGGGTCTCAGGGTGGGGACCTGAAACACTTGTCCACCCTCACTCACAGACACTTGGTTTCTCATGCAGACTTTGGTGGGGAGGAGGAAGAGTTTCTAGGAGGCTTGTGTAAGAGTGGGGAAGTAAATGATTTGTTACTTGGAATAGACTTCTTGCATTTACTTTAAGAGGTGTGAGAACATAGGTTACTGTTGGACATAGGGCAGGCCCTAGGGATTATTTCTAGGAAGACAAGGGGATTCTGGATCTAGAAAAAAGGAGAATCCACTGTATTCTGATCATTTCATTGGGTTGGCCCCATTGCTTATGCCATTTGCAAGTAAAAATTAGCTTATAATCAAGATGGTGGTTAGAATGCCCATCAAGGGTTGAATGTAGCTCTTTCATCTAAAGACCAGGGAAGAATAATTTCTCTGGAAGTAGGAGTCTGAGGTTGAGAAGTCGGCACCAGAATTGTAGAAGTGCAAGGGCTTTGGTGATCTGGTTTTGTGAACCCATGTGGTTCTGTTATAAAAGGCTACATGTCACCTGTCTACCTCAGGGGAGAGGTCTGCCTGGTTCTTAGGTAACTACACTGACCTACAAGCAAGCCAGCTTTCTTCAGTGGCCCAGCCTCTGGTGCTTCTGCAGGGACCTGAACCTGAAGTGGTCCCTAGGGAATGGGAACAGTACTTAATGTTCATGTGGGGCATCTGTGTGTGTACCTTTGTTTGGGGACCCCCCCCCCAATATCATAATTTTTTCTGGCCTGGACACCATTATTCTGTCCCTTAACACATTGGAATGGGGGCATTAAAATTGTTCATTGTCCTCAGTAGAAAATAAGTCTTTCCTTGGAAACAGCATAATCCTCAGTCATGCCTCTTCTGCTAATAACTGTGAGGCTAAGAGTGGGGAGATGAGGATGGCCTGAGGCTTTCCAGAGGAGGCAGGAAGTGGTGCTTGTGTTTTTTACCTCCAGGTGTTGGTGCTGCTCTAGACCCACTGACCTTGCCTTGGGAACTCCCACCTCCCAATGAAATTTCTAAGTGTAATTTCAGGCCCCTGGTTGAAATCCTTGAGAGAAAGCTGAGCTAGAGCAGTGATGGGTTTGGACTTTGTGCCTCAGCTGGAATGTTCACACAAGTCTCTTAGTACTGAGGATCTTAGCTGGATGCCCCTTCCGTTCTTTTTTTTTTTTTTAATGTTTTTATTTATTTTTAGGAGAGAGAGAGAGAGACAGTGTGAGCAGGGGAGGGTCAGAGACGGAGTCACAGACTGAAACAGGCTCCAGGCTCTGAGCTGGCAGTCAGCACAGAGCCCGATGCGGGGCTCGAACCCACGAACCGCGAGATCATGACCCAAGCGAAAGTTGGACGCTTAACCGACTAAGCCACCCAGACGCCCCGCCCCTTCCGTTCTTTTACCATTGCCGTGTTAGGTGTGAGTTCAGTTCTGTCACTCTCAACCCAAGTGAAGAATTCAAATCTGGCATGCCACCCCATATAAAGCAAATAGTGTGAAGAATGGTACTTTGCGTTATTTTATAGCTGCTTTTTGACTTCTAGCATTTGATGATTTTTGTGGTGTAAATACTTCCTCCAGGGGCCATTCAAGCCACCAGCATGACCTCAATAAACACACAGTTGGGAAGAGATGGGCACAGTCATGTGAGGTGGCTCTAGCATCCGCTGCAGTGTCCTCCCGTATGTTATCCATTGCATTCCAGCTGCCTGCTGGCTGGGGTGTGGCGGCCATGGGACAGGCCTATTGCTGAGTCGTGTACACGCAGTCTACTTTTTGCCCTGCTTCACTTGCTGTTGGCCTGTGAAGTGAGCTACATCTCAGCTTAAAGAACTACTAAATAGGATTCAGAGAAGGCACTGGAGCAGATTTGGAGCCCTGTTGGGTCCATCTGAAAATCATGGTGGCAGTAAGGGTATACACCTGGAGATGATGGAGCTCCTTGAGGAAGCTTTCATCCTCTCTGAACATCTGATTATTGGCTTCCTTACTCAGTTCCCAGCAAATCTATCTTCTCCTAGCAACACCCCATCCCTGATACACATACGCCTGAGTGTGCATACCGATTGCTTCAGTATTGTCTAAACACCAATGCCCAGGTTAGAGTCTAGCAAAGAAGGTCAAGGAATCCCCAACATTTGGTGGCATACCAGGGACAAGCTCAAGAGCGCAATACTCTGCTCTGTAGTGTACCTCTTCTCTGGAAGCCAGGTCCCTGGATTTAATTCAGTTCTTGACCCTGGAGAGATTTGGGTTGTCTTCTTGTTCAGTTCTTTTGTTTAGATTGGGGAGGAAAAGTGGCCTTGTGAGTTCCTCCAGGACATGGTACCTACGCCCAACCCATGTGATACCTTGAGGCCTGTGTGCCTCTCCAGCTGGAAGTGATTGTGTAGGTTTTGAGCTTCTGTCACATAGGTTGTTGAGACACTGTTAGGATAAGGAAAGGGATTGGTGGGGGTACAGGGTTCTAGGCCTTGAAGGCAAGCCAGGATCGGGTTCCTCTCAAGGTTTGTCAGTGCCACAGAGATTGGTTTGATGTTTACCAGGTGCTCCTCTGGTCAGATATGTCCAGCTGGATTCCTTTAGCATTTCTGGGACTCCCTCTGCTTTCTACATGATGCTGGGTACGCTTTAAGAATACAAAATACGTCTGAAAGCTGAAGCCAAAAGGGTGGAGGCAGTGATGTAGTGCTTGTTTAAGGAGAGCCTGGGCAGTGATTGGAGTGGGATGTTGAGTTAAATTTTCAAGTGTTGTTGTTTACAGTCTTACCTTCTCTGTTTCTTGCAGTAGTATTTTGCCTTTGAGTAACTGTCCCCAGCTCCAGTGCTGCAGGCACATTGTTCCGGGGCCTCTGTGGTGCTCCTGATGCCCCTCACCCACTGTCGAAGATCCCCGGTGGGCGAGGGGGCGGCAGGGATCCTTCTCTCTCAGCTCTAATATATAAGGTAAGGAGGACTCTGGGCTGGAAGGCTTGGAGCAGAGCCCTCTCAGATGCCACTCAGCTGCTGCTTAGGGTAGTAATTGCTGCCTTTGGTCTTCCCTTAGGCCAGGCAGTAGGGGATCGGGAGGAACTTTTTGAGCAGAGGCTGCTGTGTGGCTTTTGGGAAGTACTAGGAGGGGAGGATATATGCACCAGCAAACACTGCCATCTTTTCAGCTTGGTGGTCAGCACTTCAGTGCCGGTTCGGGGTCCTGAGTGGGAGGGAGAATGATGAATGGGAAAGGTGCAAGAACTCTTTTTGGTGTGACTCCTCCGTTTCTCTTGAAGTACCAAGGGCCAGGAGGAGCAGTTTTTCCATTGTCCAAGAGTATCAGGCATTCTGCTCTCCACCCCATACTAACCTGATAGGGGGCGGGCAGGGTAGCAGGGGTAAGAAGACTGGGCTTTGCAACTCCATCATCTGTCATCCTGGCAGCATAGGGTACATCCCAGGAGCTTTAGAGATTGCTGGCAGTCTGGCCTGAGAATGATCTGGGCTGGGGCAGTTAGCCCTTTGCTGCTTTTTAATCTCCTGTGCTTAAGGCCCAGAAGTTGGTTTAGCTTCTCCCTAAGATTGGCATTGAAGGGTCGCAGGGTGGCTGAATTCTGGTCTCTTGAGACTGTGCCTAGGGGAGACCACATTGACCCTGCAGTCTACCTGGGAGCAGGCTTTGGTTGAGTTGGGCTGCAGCCAAACCCTCACATATATCCTCATTTGTTGCTAATGTTGCTCTTTCAGAGAGAGAAAGGAAAGAAAGAACATGGTGCTGGGGGACACACATGGGCTTAGAATCAGGGAGACTCGGTATGAGTCTCAACTGTGCCATTTCTTAGCTATGGAGCCTTGGGTCAGTTGCTTAATTGTTCTGGGCCCCAGTGTGTCAGATTTAAAATGGGGATATTAATAACTACCTCAGAGGCTTGTGTCGGTGATTGAAAAATGGGAAAGCACCTGGCACAGTACTTGGCATCTCATGGACATTGGTAAATATTCCCATTATACTGGCTTTTAGCTGCCATCAACTTGTCTTTTTGCCTGATGAGTGATGGATGGCTTTAATTAGCCAGCATGCGGCTGTACATTTTCAGTGTGCCCTTTATCCCATGCTACCCTGAGACTGGCCCAAGAAGACTCCCAGGAACCATCTTGGTTAGGGAGCCTATAATGTGGCCAGAGCAGTAGTGATCTGGTCCTCTGATCTGATCCCCTCCCAGGACGAGAAGCTCACTGTGACCCAGGACCTCCCTGCGAATGATGGAAAACCTCACATCGTCCACTTCCAGTATGAGGTCACTGAGGTGAAAGTCTCTTCCTGGGATGCAGTCCTGTCCAGCCAGAGCCTGTTTGTAGAAATCCCAGATGGATTATTAGCTGATGGGAGCAAAGAAGGGTAAGGAGGAAGTGCTGGGGGAGGGGAAGGAGGGCCCATTCCAGAGAAAGGCATGTGCTCGTTGGGGTAACAGATGAATTAGGGAGTCTACCTTCTTTCCTAGCTCTAGGTTTCCCAAGCAGATACCATTTTGTAAAGGTTATTTTTAGCCGGTAAAATAGGCCTGTCATAGGTTAAAGGGGATCATTATCACATTAACCAAATCCCTGTCATTTAGTTGCCCCTTGGTTCACTCTTCTCATCAGACATTAAATCCCCCTTGAGCCCACTGTACAGTGATGCAGTTCAAAAGGCCAGGAAGCTCTGAGATACAGTGGGATTTCATTGGATTGGGCAAGGCCAGGCCCTCCAAGGCAGTCAGGTGTATAAGAAAACAGTCTTGAAGACAGTTGTCTCGAGTGGTCCCTGTCTCTTAAGGAAATCCTTTTAGGCAGTGTTAGGACCTAGAGTCCATCTCAGTGGCAGGTGGTCATCAAACTTGGCAACTTGAGAAGACTCCTAAAAAAAAAACCAAGGGTCTCTTCCTTGGCCCCCTACTGTCTTGCTAACTGTGTTAGTGAAGTTGGTTAACACTTAATTTCAGGTGAAGAATCCTTACTCCAGGAAGAGATAGTTCAGTAATGTTTTTCTTTGGGGTTGTGGCTTATTTTTTCCTGAACTCCGGGCTCTTGAAATATGAAACTTTCCTTGCAGGTTCTCTATTTATAATACTGGCTGTGAGCCTCAGGAAGCCTTTTTTGAGAGATGGGGGCTGGGGGGGTGGAAAGTCTGGAGAGGTGGTAGTGGGCCTGAGTTGTTTTCTTTGCTTCTGGCAGATTGTTAGCACTGCTAGAGTTTGCTGAAGAGAAGATGAAAGTGAACTACGTCTTCATCTGCTTCAGGAAGGGCCGGGAAGACAGAGGTGAGGAGTCTAAACAACCTGAGACCTACTGCCCAGACAGTGGGCAACTCGTGAAGGGAAAAGGGGTTTCCTATTTTGTGAAGTAGGGCTCTTGAGTTTGCTATACAAACCCTGGGAAATTATAGGGGTGGGAGTGCTAGGCCTAGTACTTATTTATTGCAGCTTTATTTCTTGTTTTCCCTTGATTTGAACCTGCCCTTGTGTTTATTGGAATCTTTTTTACACTCCTACAGCTCCACTCCTGAAGACCTTCAGCTTCTTGGGCTTTGAGATTGTGCGTCCAGGCCATCCCTGTGTTCCCTCTCGGCCAGATGTGATGTTCATGGTTTACCCCCTGGACCAGAACTTGTCCGATGAGGACTAATGGTCATAGAGGATGCTTTGCCCAAGAGCCACAGTGGGGGGAGAGGGAAAGTTAGGCAGCCCTGGGACAGAAGAGGGGGCTCCTTGCTGTCTAGGGAAGGACGCTGAGGGGCTCAGGGTGAGGGTTGCCTATTGTGTTCTCAGAGTTGACTCGTTGAAATTGTTTTCCATAAAGAACAGTATAAACCTATTATTCACATGTAATCACCAATAGTAAATGAAGATGTTTATGAACTGGCATTAGAAGCTTTTTAAACTGCGCTGTGTGATGTGCTCTGTCTAGCCTAGGGGAGGACATTGCCTAGAGCAGGAGGGACTGTCTGGGTCCAGGGGCAAGGCCTGGGGAGCTGGTGGAAGGCACTGTCAGGCTCAGGTTCCCCTGCTGTTGGGCTTTCTTTTTTTGGTTTTTAAGACTTGTGTATTTTCTTTCCTTGCTTCCTGTCAACCCAGGGACTCTGAATATAGGCTTTTCAGCCCCTGGGCTGTGTCCTTGAGTTTTTCGACACTTTACCTGGGCTCCTCTGTGTGCATTTGTGTCTGGCCTGGAGAAACCAGGTCTGACCCCCCTCCTTCTTCACGAAGCTTAGTGTTATTCTGGCCTTTGGTTAAGCTGGCTTAATCTGTTTATTGTTATCAGTGCATTTCAAATAGGGGCATTGAAGTTCACTCCCACCATCAGGGCTTTCTTTGGGGTGCCTGGGCCTTAAAACACTAGCCAAACTCCCAATTTGAAAATCATAGCCAGGTGTTCTTGCTCCTGGCTGCAGGCCCAGGCTCCAAGGCGTCTCTTTCCTAGGGTCACAAAGAGCAGAGAGGAAGAAGAAGAGCAACTCAGGGCCTGAGGGTTGTGTGGGAACCTGCTCTTAGGGACTGGATGCCTCTGGCTGGCTGAGCATAGTGCTGACTGCCCCTCCTGTCTCTCAACAGGTTCTGAGTAGTGCCTGAGACCCTGCCCTGTAGGGCTTAGGGGTGGGACTGGGGGTGTAGAAGTGGCTTGCCCTTTTCTGTTTTCACTGAACAGCTCATCCTAAGGGAGGGAGGAAGGGGGAGAGATCTAGATTGGGTAAAGGGGGTGGGGGTGTCAGGGAGGCAAGTGTGTTGTGTTACTGTGTCAATAAACTGATTTAAAGTTGTGGTTGGTCTGTTCTTCATTCCTGTACCAGGACCAGCTTTCTACCACTACTCTCTTGAGTCTAGAGCCTAACGTAGCATGAGTGTGATACGTGCTTCTCAGGAAAAGAGCTGCAGTGCATCAAGACAGATAAACCGGCTGAGGCCTCTGGGGCCACGATTACACTGCAAAACATGGTTGCTAGGAGTCTTGGACAAACTGCCAGTACCCCCTAGAGAGGTATGTATGTATCTGCTTCATCCAGAAGAGAGTCTTTACCCAGGATCCAAGCTGTTCATAGTGTTTCCTTTTGTATAGAAGGCTGGGTCCTGAAACTGGGTTTTGGTTTTTGCATGGAGCTGCCTGACATTCCCGTTTCTGGAGGTGTTTGAAGGAAGCAGCACACACCTTCTCTAGGAAGGTGTGGCTGCCATTTCCCTTGCACCACCAGCTCGTTGAGTAAGCTCTTGAGTGGCACTGTAGGGAGCTAGGTCCCCCCCTTTTTAAGTTGGTTACACATGTGGAGCTCAGACTCAGAACCCTCAGATCGAGGGTCACATGCTGTACCAATTGAGCTAGCCAGGTGTCCCTTAAGTTCTTTGGAACTATCTACTGTTGAACTGTGGCTGTCCTTAGTTTTTCTGAGTTTTCACACTGGGCCAAGTTACTAACTTTGGACTCTACCTGATATTCTTAAAAGTGAGTGCAATACTCTACCTTCCACAGTATTAGGGGAAGGACTTGAAGAGGTCCTCCACGGATAAAACCCCTAGAGGCAGTGACTGAAAAAGTCACTGCTGTGAGGCACCTACAGTAGAGGTCCATGTGAATGCTGACATTGGTCAAGTTAATGTAGGCAGTTTAGGATTATGTTGAACTCCGACTCGGGAAATTTACAAGACAGGGATAAAGAACCAAGACTGAACTCAGTCCTTTACTTGTCCTTCAAACTGCAGAGGGGACAGGAAACATGTTTGGGGTTCTGCTGCCATCTGCTGGTGGATCCCCTTCGATACAGCTAGAGTTAGAAGTGCTGAATCTCTCTTTCAAAAGAAAAATTTTGCTAGATAGATAGGACCTCTGGCAGGAAAGAAATATGGTACCCAAAAGCTGCACTCCAATCAAAAAAGTAACTTACAAGGTGTAATATTTTGAGGGGTAATGGAATGGGGTAGGGAGGATATGTGAAAGGCAAACTAAGTCTTAAGTTTAAGAACAGGGACATTAAAAACTTTATTCAATAAATACAACAAATAATTTAAAAATATACTTCAATTCCAAAGCCAATTAAGAAAAGGAAGTAGAAAGGGAAAAAAGGGAGCAGGAGATCAAAGGAAAAGGAGAAAGTTCAAGAGGCAGAACAATGGTTTGGTTGGGCTGTGTTTCAGAATATACCACCCTCTGAAATTCTGATCAAATGCTCTGGACTCCTAAATCCTTAGCCCTTGTTCTGATGGGGTGGCCACAGGAGTCCTCCAGCCAGGAATGGTTTTCTGGGCTCTCGATCAGAGCACTCTGGAGGCTGGAATCTGGGGGGAATGGTAGGAGACAGTTTCTCTATCATTCCTAAAAACTGTCCGTTCTAACTCCCAGGCAGGTTTCAATAGTGCAAACTCTTAAGCCGAGAGCTCCCAGCTGCATAGTTTCACAAGTGAGCGTCCAAAGCCGGGACCTCCAGGGGATGGGGTCCAAAGCCACTTTGGTGAATGGGATCTAAGGGGGAAGGAGAGGCCAGGGCACAGGATGAAAGCCCTGGATAAGCCAGTGGCCATGCTGGAAAAACACCACTGGGCAAGAAAGGGCTGCAGGGCAGGTAGTTTGGACACTGGATTCAACAGTTTGCCATCAGCCAGGGAAGGTGGAGCTGAGGATGCATATGGAGCAGGACCAGGAAGATCAGGAAAGCTGAGGGAAAACAGAAAAGTGGGGGAGGAGGAGGCAGCTCAGCAGCAAACTCCAAGAGAAATAACCAGCAGCCCTCACAGATTTGTGATTGTCTCTTAAAAAGATTTATTTTCTCTTCTTGCCTGAATGTACAAAGGCAAAAAGAGTACAGTTTGTATATATATATATTTATATATATATATATAAAAAACAAGGAACTTGGTAATGTACACTTTACAGAAGGGAAGAATCAGGAAGACTGAAATTAAATCCAACAGAGCAACGCCAATGGAACAAAAGCTATGAACAGCAACACTGCCCCTCCAGCCCGGGCCTCCAGCTCGCCCCAACCTGCTCCCAATGGGGGGCTGAGCACCAAGGCAAGCGGGTGGGCTGGGGCAAGAGGGGCTGGGGGCGGGGCCTGGGAGGGGCCTGATCCCAGGAGGGGCCCATGGCAGAGGATCATCAGAGAGCTTCCTGGGATGCCCTAGTAGTAAAACAAATGACAAAGGCCCAGAATTATGGGGCCAACTAGCTGCCCAGTTGAATCACAGGGGCAGGAGAGTAGACATTAGGATGGTGACAGGGTACACAGCATAATCAACATGGGTGACCTCAAAGCCCGTGTACAGTAAACTCTAGCCCTTCTACAGTCTCACCCTCCCACCCCCAAAACCACATCCTCTCACCCTCCCCTTGAAGCCTGGAGAGAAGATTCAAGAATCACCATTTCATTTCATGGGGTGCCTTCTTAACCCTTCTGCATGTGGTCTTTTGACCTGGAGATGTGTGGAGGGGATGAGGTAAGAGAAAGGAACTTGGTGCATGTACACATACATGTACAAGTAGGGAAGGGGGATGAAGGAAACCGGCACACCTTAAGTGAGGAAGCAGATGTGAACCCTAAAGAGCAAAACTCTCCCAGCCCTGGCCATCTTAGCTGGGGATAAGGCTCCTTCCCTCCAGCTCCTCCTTGTGGAGCCCCAGTGAAAGAGGCCTGTGAAGAGGCCTGGGCAGGGGTGGCTCACAGCTCTGGTCTGTTAGCCTTGGCTCCAGCAAGCTATTCCAGCCTTTGCTCATGGAGTGGTGTCTCATCTCTCTGAGCAGATCATGGGTGCCACAGGTAGTCCTACCTGTGTGCCTCTCTATATAGAGAGGCTGGAGGTGGACAGCAGATCCTCCACTCAGCACTTGTCAAGGGTCTCTACTTCCTCCATTGCTGTTGCTGCTGCACGTTCAAGGAACGGGGACCAGGAAAAGATAGCACTATTTTGCCATTGTTGCTTTCACCCGCTCTTCTGGGAGCTCAGCTCCTACTCTTCTAGGGAGACGTGGATATAAGGATCAGAGAGCCAAATGTTTCTTTGTAAGGAATGAAAAAAAAAAAAAGCTGTTCCCTTCTGCAGAACCCAAGACTGCCCTGCTAATACAGAAGTTCCTCTTCTCTGTGTTACAGAACCAAGTGGAAGGGGCAGGAATGTGGGGCCAGGCCTGCCCAATGGGAAAGAAAATTACTCCAACGGTTTCTTTACAATATGTACAGAGCACGCTGCAAGGCAGCGCCACAGTTACAAAACACATAACAATATTTAAAAACAAACAGGAACAGAGATGGGCCCTTGGCTCCACCCCACAGGAACCTGGGAGGGCACAATCAGGCTGAAATTCAGAGTCATCCTCTGGGTGGGGGTGACTCAGGTTAGGTAGGGTGAAGGTGTCCAAACCAACAACGTCCACAGATGAAAGGGAAAGTCACTGCCCGGAGCACTGCCCACTGGTTTAGCAGGAGGCAGAGGGAATGATGGGGAAAAGGGAGGCTGCTTGGTGGCCTGCAAAGTGGTCTAAGACAGTGGGTTTTGGGAAGGACTCAACCCAACTTGAACACAAACAACTGACATGAAAGCCTAGAGGAAAGGTCTATAGGTCAAAGGGTCTCCTCTTGGGCAAACGACCCTAAGCAGTTCTTAGAGTAGGCCTCCAGGGTTCTTGGAAAGCAGCCTCTGCTGGGCGTTGTGCTTACTGTATTCCACCCCCGTGCCCCAAATGGAGTCTGAGCCAAGTCCTTGCTCTTAAATGGTCACTTTGGCACTCTGGTCACAAATACCCCTCTCTAGCCTTAGGCTGGTGTGTGTCAGTCTTTCTCAATCCAGAAGGTCAAAGAAAGATAGCCAAGGAGAACAAAGGGATGACCTCTCAAAAGCAAAATAAGAGCTAAAGCTCCCCATACCTTGGGGAAGAAGTGACTCCAATAAATCATGGTCACTT